ACAATCAATAATCGGTAATTATTTAAAATAACCTCTCTCTCCCCATCTCAAATCTTAATAAAAATACACATATTCGACGTGTTTTCACTCAAAACGAAAGAATTTGGCAAAAAAAACGCGGCGATCGACCTCGTGAATCGAGTTATTAAGTATTAAAGTTGGAGACTTTAGAGATTAAGATATCTATCATCCCGACTCTATATATATATACGTTCAATATTAATTACACAAATTCGTGGCTTTAAAAACACAAATTTACTGCTTTAAAAACACAAATTCATTGCTAATGTAAAGAATTTGTGTGCTTAAAGCAGTGAATTTTTGATTGTAAAACAGTGAATTTGTGTTTTTAAAGCAATGAATTTATGTAATTAATATTGAATATATATATAGAGTCGGGATGATAGATATCTTAATCTCTAAAGTCTCCAACTTTAATGCTTAATAACTCGATTCATGAGGCCGACCGCCGCGTTTTTTTAAAAGCAGTGAATTTATGTAATTAATGCAGAACGTATACATAGCGCTGTATTGAGTCGAGACGTCAGATATCTTAACCTCTAAAGTCTCCAACTTTTAACGCTTAATAACTCGATTCACGAGGCCGACCGCCGTGTTTTTTTTTTTTTTTGCCAAATTCTTTCGCTTGAAGTGAAGACACGTCAAATAAGTGTATTTTTACTAAGATTTGAGATGGGAGGGAGGGGGGAGGGGGGTTATTCTATAAATAATCTTTACTTACTTTAATTATCCAATAATCGTATAAGAGAAATAATCTTTACTATTTTTTTTTATGCTATATAAACTATTGTTTTGCATATTTATACAAATTCTTGAAAACGATACACATGATGATGATTTTACTTTTGCTTACATCTAATCGTTAATCGAGCTACGATGCGATGTGGGAGAAAGATAGGCAGGTCCTCGACTCACGTTTGAATATTCGAAATATTCGCGCCACGTTATGGCGGCGCAGCGTTAGGGCGACTGAGCCGCATATACGCACATACACCGGCAAGATTGAACGCCGCGTGGCAAACTCGCTCTCCAATTGGACTCCGGGATCGTTTATCTACACTTCGCTCGTCGTGAGTTGTGCCGCCGAGCGTGTCGATGAGCGCGCCGAGCTGTTTCCCGTAGGTGTCCCCTCGCGTGCCGCGCGCGAGACGAGCACAACGGAGTAAATTGACAATTATCAATGAAAAGTCTCGATTCGTCCCGTTGATTTTATGTCATCGCACTCAGCACTGCGACGTGCGCACGATCATCACGGAGCGCTGTAGTTTCGCACATAGAATCGAATGGAACGTCGCGTTGAAAGATCCAATGACGTCAAAGAACCTTTGTGCGGCACTTTATGAATTAAAACTTTCGAATTTCCTCCCCCAAGTCGATTTCTGCGATTCCGACTCTACTCTGAAAGATTGTTCGATATTTTTACTATCGAGAGAATCAGGCTCTAAAAAGCTTTAAATCATTAAGCTACATTTTGGAGCGTAGTCAACGCTATCAGTCTAATATAAATTAAATGAATCGAGACTGACTTTAACAAAAAATATATTAAAAATAGATAATCATTTAATATTACGTAAAATGATATATCAAACTATTACGTAAATAATATATCGAACTAATAACTTTCTTCAGGTAGATAATGAATGAGAACTTTTCTTTCACAAATAAAAATGTTCTATTAAAATCGATCCTTCATAATTTTTCTGTAAAATTTGTAACATATATGAATATTAATTCAACATAATATAATCATGTTATTTAAATATTTGCAGTTAAATTGATTTCTGAGTGTTAAAATAATATAGTTTATTAAGTGAGTGAACATAATATTTAATAGTTTTAAAAATGTAGTTTTAAGACGTAAATTCCAAGATAAATAAATAAAAGGTGAATGTACATATTAATTTAACATATTATGAATGGTAATTTTACCATTCTTTTACAAAGAAATATGTTTCCACGATTTATTTCGAATTGTGTCAAAGTATTACATTTTGTGTAAACTTTTGCATAATATTTGTATTACTATCTAACAGATTTATCTCGCGTTAAATTAACACAAAAATTTGGATGGACCGTTTGAGATACGTCGTGTCGAATTAGAAGGATTTAACAAATTATGATCTCATTTCTTTATAGTAGTAGCTCAACGTAGTAACCTTCGGACTGCGCGTGGCGAGTCTATAATGTTGTATTAAATGTCGACGATAATCCGAGTGGTATGCAAATAAGTTCATCGTGCGTAACGTGTCGCGTCGTGCAAACATGAAAATCCACCGAATATACGCGCGCGATAAGATTGTGTTGTGTTGTTTTGGAGACTGGACTTATTTATTTCTCGTTTCCCACATCATGTCCCTCTCGTTCGAAGAGGGACGCGCCACTCTCTTTTCGCCACTGTTATCCGGGAGCACGAGTGCGTGAAGGACAATTAAAACGACGAATTAAGGTCACAATTAAATTAATTTGACACGTCCGACGACATTTTCGATCCCGATCCTGTACGTGGTCTTATTAATCACATCATAAAATGAGAAGAATGAAAGGAGCAAGAGACATCTCTCGTGACAAAAGATCTCTGCAGTAAAATATTAAATAATCGAGAAATTAATCTTAAAGTGGATATAGACGATCTGAAGATACGCAAGTAGGTAGCTGAGGTTTTCAGAACGTCCCAAAAAAATTCTACTTTTATAGTTATATTTTTTACTAGTTATATTATGTTAGAATTAAATTTATTAGTTATATCCTTTTTTATGAGAAATAAAGAAATGTTTATTCTTTTCAAAAAAAAGATTTTCAAAAAAACTATACTTGCTACTCACTTAACATTTGACAAATTGAAGGACTCTTCCTGTACAAAATAAATAACAATAAATAAAGGGCAAAGTAAGAGTCAACATATTTGTTTAAAAAAACAAGTCATCTAATTAAAAGAATAAATTAAAATTAAACAAATAAAATCAAATTGAAGAAAATATACGTAATAAAAAATAAAAAATAAATAAAAACTCAGTTTAAATACAAATTTTGCAACTCACTTAAATAAGATAATTCCACGAGGACAAATTTCCAAAATTTTGTTCGAAAGAAAACCGTTATGAAAGTTGGACGGTTTTTCGTTACTTTTCTTTTAATATCATCATCTCTTCGAGTAATCCTATATTATGAAATATTAAAGTAACGGAAAGAAATTTCATTTTTGAAAGAAAGTCACCGTGGGAACTCTCTCTTAGACAATTTTCCAGTTCAGAGTTCTCATAATATTGTCCCCTGAAGTAATCCTATTAAGAATCCGACCTAACGAGTCAACTCTTCAAATTTCGTCCCTACCCAAAGTTTGAAAGCTGGAATATTGGAGCACGACCGCAGCGCAGAGAGATCGCGATTGGCATTCCGCTCGGCCGTGTAAGCGGTGTAAGCCGTGTAAGCCGTTCTCCCATGGCCCCTATGAGTAGGGATGGAGCGTTTGAGTCGTTCTCCCGATAACTGTACACTGTACGATCTTTCCGCGCACGTTTCGCCCAAGTATAACTCTGACCGCGTACACTCGCGCAGCAACTCGCAGTCAGGTCGAGGAGACTATACATCGCGAATGGCGGTTATTTCGTTCCTCCGCTCGCCGCGTGATTGGCCCGACGACGGTGGAGGTTGATGAAGGTGGCGGGGAGGAAGAGGAGAAGGGCCGAACCGAGTCGTGGCGGAGAGTGCCGAATCGCGCGGGAGGTTCACTTGCTCGCAATGAAAGAAGCACGCTTCAGTCGCTAGAGAGCGCTTTACATGATAACTACGTGTCTTTGCGCAACTCCGTAGTATCGCGCACGTATCTATATCGTCTGTGTTCAACGTCACGTAACTGCGCAATCGTATCTCGTATTCGTACACGTTCTTTCAGAGCCGGTCAATCAGTCAGTCAGTCAGTCAGTCAACCAGCCAACCAGTCAGCCAGCCAGCCAACCAGTCAGTCAGCCAGCTAGCCAGCCAGCCAGTCAACCCCTCCGGGTGGGCCACGCGCGCGTGTGCCTTGACAGTCGCGTTTGTTTGGCGGGAAAGCGAGCGAGGCGTGCGATTCTTCGTGCTTATTTACGCGGTGTCAAAGGCGACTAGGCGACGCACTCGGTGAGTGACTCCCCCACCGCGGATCGGCATATTGCTTGCGGGCCGTGTGCAATACCGCTTTTTCTATGGAATTCCTTCACCCCGAGACCACGGACTGCGTTATCGCGTCTCGGCGTCTGTGCGTGGCAGTGTCTCGTCGTGCGTGAGTGCGAGCAGCGAGACGTGAAGAGGAGCGAAGGAGAGAGGCGGAGATCGACTCGCCACACGGTGGACCACGAAATTCGCGCGGGATACGTCGCAACACGCTCTCTCGCCGTCGCTCGGATACTCACGCGCAAGCGTGCGGCCGCGCGACGTTGCCGGATCGCATTCTGGAGGCTACGGCTACGCCGAAAGGAATCGTTTATTCGCTCGTGTCTCGAGTCTCGAGTACCGAGGTCGAGGAGAGCGAATTCGAGCGAATCTTCGCGGATATCGATAGTGTTTGTATCGTGCACTTTTGACTGTTATTGGCGCGAAGGAGCTGCCCCACGGCGGCCTTGTGTGTTGGAATCGCGCGCGCGCACGCGGATAGCGAGGCGGAGTTTGTTTTCGCCGCCGCGCTATCTCTGTCTGGCACGTATTAACCCGTGTTTGCCCCCTCTCTCCCCTGTGTGTTGCCAAGCGCGGCTGCTGTTCGCCGTGCACGCTGATGCACGCGTCGTCTTATGAGCTACGCTCTCCTAGGCAGGGATCGAGCCGAGTATCATCGTAATCGTCATCATCGTCATCGTCGAGATACGATCACGTCGGAACCGAAGCGGTGCCCTGGTCAACG